TGTGTGTGTGTGTGTGTGTGTGTGTGTGTGTGTGTGTGTGTGCGTTCATGCATGAGTATGTGCGTGGGTTCATGTGTGCGTGTGCATCAACATGTATATGCTCGTGGGTATATGTGGACATGGTTTTTCTTTGTTGTTGCTGCTACTTCCAGAACGACAAAAGACGAAAATGCTCTAGCTCTGTTCCCTCTTCCATTAACTTCTAGATTCTCGCTCCACATATACTGGCATACACAGAGACATAGACAGCAATAGCGACAACACACAAAGTGAAGGGTAGTTGGCCGCAGCCAGATGTGACTCAGAAAAAGCAAAGCGCGGCGACAACGAGGAAGAAGGCAGAGAGATGCAAACATAACAGGGAGACTGACAGAGAGAATACATGACAAAACGAGTAGGCTATGATGTACACAAAGTTGCTCATAGTCCAAGGAGCTAGCACCCTGATCTGGTGCAGTACCTCCCAGTTCAGTGATGAGGAACAACCCACCAAATTCAGTGTGAGAGCATGTAGGGTGTGAATAGTAGTTCAGGTGTCAGGAACTGGCCAGCCAGGACTTGACCATATCGAAGGATAGTGGCTGCTTCGGTGAAAAGTTGAGCATTGCTGGCCGCACTGTAATAACAGGTAGGTGATAGTGATACTTCCACGCAGTGCACATGAACAAGGCATCTGATTATCAAACCTGACTGAACAGCAAGTGGCGACTGTAAATATCACATAATATTATAGCAGATATATCGGTTCAGTTTGGGCTGAACAGAATCAATCCTCCCATAGCCAACCCCTGAAGTACTCTAAAGCAGGGAGTAGAGAAGAGAAAGGAGAAAGAACAAGCAGGATAAGCACACAGAACAGCAGAGTAAGTCATCTGGATGCAAGAATCATGTACAGGGTTGTGCCACAAACAGACTCGGGACAAGTGAAAACCGATAGGGCCGGCATGATTAAGTTCACAGCATAAAATTGTTGGAATTAATCCAGGAATATTCACACAGTGCCGCCAGGCCTCACACAGAACACAAAGAGCCCATGCAAGAAGCCAGTAAGTTAGGTCTGATCTGTTTTGCAAAGTGCACGTAACACCTGTCCAATATGACTAGTACAGTGGACAAAATTTGACTTCACACAGTATAGAATGAACTCCTCCAGTAAGACATTTTTACTGGGATATAGCTGACACCACACAGTATGCAAAACACTCCCCAATAGGACAGATAATGATACTGGAACTCAATATTTTACTCTTGGTGACCGAAATGTATAGCCGGTAAGATCATTCTACTGGGACCCGTCCAACCTGGTACATGGCGAACGCATTCATTCATCGCGACGATCATACAGACTCAACTGACATCGCACATTGCACAATACGTCAACTACATGTAGTAAGACATTGATATTGGGAGGTAGCGGACATTACACAGTACCCAATGCACCCATAGAGACTGTTATACTGGGACCCGTCTGACATCGTATAGTACACAATCTGATGAGCGAATGAGACATACTGGAATGAACTCCTCCAGAAAGACATTTTGACTAGGACACAGCTGACCCCACACCGTATGCAAAGCACTCCTCTAATGAGACATACTGATACTGGAACTCAACATAATATAACTCTCGGTAAACAATACGTACATCCGGTAAGACCATTCTACTGGGACTCAACCCAACATTGTACGTGGCATAATGCACTCATTCGTTGAACCAATCGTACAGAGACTCAACTGACATCGTACATTGCACAATACGTCAACTAGTAAGACATTGATATTGGGAGGTGGCGGACACTGCCGGGCTGGACGTGCCTTACGTTGATTGGTGCATAAGGCGTTCATCCAGTGAGACAGTTATATGGGCACTCATCTGGCGTCGCACAGTGTAGAACGCAATCATCCCGGGCGAAAGATCTAGAGGGGTTCGTCTGGCATTGGACACTGCGCAGTGCACTCTTCCAATAAGACAGTTATACTGGGCATCCTCCGTCATCTCGCAGTGCACAATGCACTCTTCCAGTAAGACAGTTATACTGGGAATCCGCAGTCATCTCGCAGCGCACAATGCGCTCTTCCAGTAAGACATTTATACTGGGAATCCGCAGTCATCTCGCAGCACACAATGCACTCTTCCAGTAAGACATTTATACTGGGAATCCACCGTCATCTCGCAGCGCACAATGCGCTCTTCCAGTAAGACATTTATACTGGGAATCCACCGTCACCTCGCAGCGCACAATGCACTCTTCCAGTCAGGCATACCGGGATTCGTCAGACTTCGCACAGCTCCCGATGCACTCCTTCGGTGAGCCAGTTATATTGGGACTCATATGACATTGTATAGTGCATAATTTGCTCGTCGATTAAGACAGTTACACCAGGAATCAACACTGACACTCAGCGCACAATGTACTCATCAAGTAAGACAGTTCTGGGATAGCACAACGCACGATGCGTTCATCCAGTGAGACAGATACAACAGGACATGTTCACCAACACACTATACGAAGTACACTCATCCAGAAACACAGTTTTACCACACAGTGCATAATGTGCTTGTCAATTAGGACAGCTACACCAGGAATCATCGCCGACACTCAGTGCACAATGCACTCATCAGGCAAGACCGTTGTAACATAGCACAACGCACAATGCGTTCAGTAAGACAGATACAACAGGACTTGTCCGCCCGCACAGTTTGCGGAGTAGTTTGGAGTTGACAGGAGGGTATGCACATCTAAACCACACCTTGTCAATGAACCGTTCTTTCTCAGTTTTTAACGACCACACTCAGCAAAAAGAAAACAACAACGAAGCACAACGACACACCAACGCTGATGTGGCATCATAAAATCCCGTACCGTGCACGCAGGCACTGGGTTGCAACAGAAGAAAGACGCGCTGCAAGCGTGCCAAGCAGCGAGTGAGTACGCAACGCTGTACTAATGCCAGTCATGGCAACGGGAGATAAATAATTATGCAGATCGATCCGCGCATGGTTTGATCGAGAGCAGAGTACGAAAAAAGCACACATTCAAAGTTCAAACTGTGCAATAGAACCAGAAGAGGAAAACGAAAATGAACACTTGTCGTGAAGTGAAGTGCTTCTGTCCAAGGATGCTTGCACCCGACGGGGTGGCAGCGCCCCTAGTCAGACAATACAAGGCAAACGAAATAGAAATTAGCTGAGTCACAGCGCGGTACTCCGAAACGAAAACCGGTGAGTATGTAAATATTAATTGTTTGTACCTGCTGTACAACGTAACAATTGCTAAAATTCGTAATGTATTTTCAAACTAGCACTCGGAGAATTGTAGTGTGAATGTACCACACGATTAGAGTAACAACGACAAAGAGATACTCTTCTAAACACGGAGCACACTCATTCCGAAACACAGTTATGCCACCAGCACACAGTGTGTCATACGCGCGTTCACAAAGATAGCTTCGCTTACACGAATTTGTAGATTCATCCACAGCCGCACAAATATTGCACCGACGCTGTACAATGGATGTACTGGAAGCGGAACTAGTGTAGTACCCTACCCCGCAAAAGTATTGGAATTTCAAACATTGCCTGTAGAGGTGTAAAGAAATAGCACAATTACTACAAGCTGGAGCATATTCGATTGTACAACTACGCCTGACCAGATACAGTTAAGAAAGCACTTTATACCACACTCTACAAATCGGGCATGGTTGGCGGCGCTAGGAAGAGGAAGGGAGAGACAACATCCATTATATTACAGAGGATGCTTGGAGTACAGAAACAAGTAATTTCATTCACGACCGCAACAAAGCTCGAGCGGAGCCGACTGGAGTACACTACGACACCAATCTGTCAAACCTATGAGAAAAAGCATACAATAAAATCAACATATCTGGATAGTCACTGGCGGCAAGCCACAAGCCACAATGCAGAGGACAATGTTACCGGGCTTGATGTTGCGGCTGCGTCGAGACCATTGCTGAAGCACATTCAGCCGAGGCACTATTATTTTCTCGAAGCCATCGCCGCCATTCCTCGCGTATGAGCTGTTGGAGGAGCCGCCAACGACGCTGTGGGTGCAACTCAGCGACTTCTTCGAGCGGCAGAGTCAGCTCGCACTGTCCATCTAGGAAGTGCATCAATGTTAGCGGTGCGGCATCATCCACGTCAATCCGGACAGCGGTCAACGGGCGCGAGTTGAGTAGGCCTTCCGCACTCACCATGGCAGTTACAAGTTCCTCATAAGTGAGATTGGCCTTGGACAGAGTTGCCATCATTGCGCGCTTTTTTGCCTTGACCACACACTCAAATACGCCGCCAAAGTGCGGAGCGAGAGGTGGATTGAAGCGCCAGTGAACTCCTTGGCTGGCCATACTTGCGGCCACTTCATAAGAACCTAGCGCCTGATCGGCTTCTCTTAGCTCGCGCTCTGCACCGACAAAGTTCGTCCCGTTGTCTGACACGACCTCAGCTGGCACGGCTCTGCACTTGCAGAAACGGGTGAATGCTAGCAAAAACGACTCGTTGTCCAGGCCATACGCCATCTCGAAATGACAGGCTCGGGATTGCAAAAAAGAGAAGACACAGAGGTACCTCTTGAGCTGGGTCTTGCCACGTCCTTGTTTTGTCCGGAACGGACCGGCATAGTCAACTCCCACTCTTGAAAATGCCCGGTACGGTGGAGCTGTCCGGAATAGCGGGAGCGGTTCTATCTGCTGCAAAGCCACAGTGGCCCACTTCTTCTTGCAGAGCTCGCAGTGTGCACGGTGAGATCGTGCGACAACCTTGCCACGGATGATCCAAAACCGCAGGATCAGGTTTGCCAAGGGGTGGTTTGGGCCCACACTGTGATCACACTTGCGATCTTCGGTGTCGTCTATCAACTGAGTAATGCGATGGTGCTGGGGCAAGATTATAGGATGCCGGGTATGCTCAGGCAAGTGGCTGGCAGTCTTCAGACGACCTCCAATGCGTAGCACACACGGGTAGTCCTTGTCGAGCACTGGATTCAGCCATAGCAGCGGCTTCCCTGACGAGCTGTTCGGAATAGCGGGAGCGGTGCTATCTGCTGCAAAGCCACAGTGGCCCACTTCTTCTTGCAGAGCACGCAGTGTGCACGGTGAGATCGTGCGACAACCTTGCCACAGATGATCCACAACCGCAGCATCAGGTTTGCCAAGAGGTGGTTTGGGCCCACACTGTGATCACCCTTGCGATCTTCGGTGTCGACTATCAACTGAGTAATGCGATGGTGCTGGGGCAAGATTATCGGATGCCGGGTATGCTCAGGCAAGTGGCTGGCAGTCTTCAGACGACCTCCAACGCGTAGCACACACGGGTAGTCCTTGTCGAGCACTGGATTCAGCCGTAGCAGCGGGTCATTCGCTGCAAGGGACTTCCCTGACGTCAGCTGCCAATACGAAGCGGGATAGCTCTCTGCTTGTGCAATCGCATACCAGTGACATTCGACACGCTGGAGCTCATCAGACTTCAGCTCCACAGAGTCGACTGCTGTAACTGCTGCTTCCGGATCCCCTCTCGTGCTAGCATGACGTCGACGACACCGGTTGATGAAACGGTAGCACCAGGCCATCAATCTTACTAGTCGTTTCCATGACGAGTAGTTGTCGGGGTGGAGACGAAACACCTCCGCTGAAACTTGCTGCACAGCGAACGCCATCACTTGCGCTCGCTTTACCATTCCGGGCAACTCTTTTGGCACGGTTATCTGACGAGAGGGCAACTGATTGTGCTGCTGGACGAGGAACTCGGGGCCCCTGCACCATACTGATTCACTGGCTAGCTTGGCTGCTGTCAAGCCTCTGGTGCCCTTGTCGGCTGGGTTCAGCTTTCCAGGAACGTGGTTACACTGGCTGCCAGCTAAATACTCTTGTACTTCAGCTATCCGGTTGCCCACGTCGACTTTAAACTTTCTGCATGGTGTTCTCACCCAACGAAGCACGTTCATCGAGTCGGACCAGTAGGTGGCATCAGCATTCGGCAGATCTAGCGCGTCATTCACTGTCTGGGCCAGGCAAACACCAAGCATAGCACCCTTCAGCTCCAGCTTCGGGACATGGACGCGCCTTGGCGAGTGCTAGCGTCACTCGCACATTGCCATCTGGGTACTCAGCACGAACGTACACGTTAGCGGTGTAGGCGGCATCTGAAGCATCCGTGAACACGTGCAGCGACAATGTAGCGACAGACGACTCGCGACCCGGACACTTGAAGCAGCTCGGCGCACGGATCGGCGCCAGATCTCCCAGCTCGCTAAACGAGGATGTCCATCTCCGCGTGTGCTCAGCGTCCAGTGGATCATCTCAGCCCACCCCGAGGATGCACAGCTCCTGGAACATGACACGAGAGCGAATCGTGAAGGGAGCTAGTTGTCCGCGTGGGTCGAATATAGATGCCATCTTACTCAGTACGGCTCGCTTGGTCAGCTTCTCTGTTGCAGACGGCTTGAACTCAAAGGCAAAGGTATCATCCTCTGCCGACCACATCACGCCTAGCGTCTTGACTGATGGTAGCACACAGTTATCATGATCATTGTTGCTAGCTACGAGCTGCGGTGAGCTGTCAGCTTCCGGTACGCCGTCCATCACCTCCGAGCTATTGCTGAGCCACTTGCGGAGGTGGAAGCTGCCCTGCTCAAGGATGTCCTGTACTGTCTGCTGTGTGCGGATGGCTTCCGGTACGGAGACAGCAGAGCGCAGCAGATCATCCACATACATGTCTCGGTCAACAATCTGCAACATGGCAGGGTCATACTTGTCGGCTGTCTCGCGGCACACCACTTGTAGCGCCTTGCATGCCAGGTCCGGAGACGCCTTGATGCCGAACACCAACCCCTCGAACTCGTATACACGTGAGTCCCACACAAAGCGATGATATCGGCGGTCTTGCTCAGCCAGCACGACTTGCAGGAACATCTCGGTTATGTCCGCCGTGAGCATCACTGGCTCCTTGCGGAACCGCAGAAGCACTTTCACTAGGTCATTCTGCAGAGCGGGTCGAGCGTACATGCACTCATTGATCGATGTGCCGTCATACTTGGCAGCAGCATCAAAGATGACACGTACCTTCGTGGTGGCCTTGTCATCTCGTACAAGGGCGAAATGCGGCAGGAACCACTGGTCGTCGCCATCTGCCTCAACCTCTGCTGCCGACACTGCGCGCACATAGCCTTTGTCAATGTGGCTACATATGACTTTGCCGTATGCTGCCTTCAGCTCCGGACGCTTGTCCAGTGATTTCCCTAGCATGCACAGGCGATGGTCTGCAATGGCGCGATTAGCGGTGACACCAGGCTCGCCGTTGCTGTGGATCCATGGGACTGCAATGGTGACTCGCTGATCATGGAAGCTGATGGATTTCGCAAAGATCTCCTCAGCCAGCTTCTCTGCAGAGGTGATGTAGGTGCCTTCGTGCTTCATACCGACTGCCTCCAGATTCCAGAAATTCTGGACCAGGCTGTCTATGCTGCATTCGCCGTATAAAGCATGCACATAGTTGATGGACAACTCGTCATTACTGGGTGCACTGGGCGTTGGGCCCATACACACTCATCCCAGTGGCGTCTTGCGGGCAATTGGTCGACCGCTGCTGCTTCTGTACTCCGCGAGTGATGCGTGGGCATCAATGACGTCCTCAATGACGTCCAGACTGATCAGGAGGTCGACCGTGGTGCTGGAGATTTCGGGAAAGTCTATGAACTTCAGATGCTCATAGCTGGATGTGTACCAGCTCCAGTCGACGACCCGCATCTTCTTGGTCACATGATCATATACGCATGCCTTGAGCGGGTTTGACACTGTTCCATCAATGGATTCCATCTGCACCTTGACCAGTTCCCGATAGCTGGAGGTCTGCTGCGCACCAGTCGTGGATGTGTTCAACATGTGAACTTCACCTGCCATGTCCAACTCATGGGCTACATCCTCCCGTATGAAGCTTGCAGTCGAGCCTGAGTCCAGCATGGCCGTACAGATTGCCGACTTGCCAGTTGGGCCTATAATCTTCACTGGCACGGTAGTGAAAGCGGTAGTCTGTGGCACGCTGACACTAGCATGGTGAGAACTTTCCTGCCCAGGTGCCGGAGCTGCTGACCGCATCGTAGCGGGATTCTGCGCTGCAGCTTGTTGTGGCTGCACTGACTTTCTGTAGTGCGGAAGTGAGTGGTGCCTCTCTCCACAGTGGGAACGTTCCAGCTTCTGGCACTCACGCGCCCAGTGTCCATGCTCCAAACAACAGCTACACAGCTTTGCACGCTTGACCAGGTCCCAGCGGCGCTTGGTTGTCAGCGCCCTGAATTCCGGACACTCTGCTGTGGCATGCCTCTTGCTTAACTTGGCACACTGCTGAGTACTGAGCTCCACAGCATACACAGCAGATGACCTAGGTTTTGGCGGGACCGCAGGAGGTGTCTTGTTCAACTTTTCTGTGCCGACTGTCGCCAAGATGTCATCGGCTCGCGTTCTGGACCCGTTTTATCAGCCAGAACGACAATGTGGTTGCGTTGCATTTGCTGTTTGGATGTGGTTCGTGAAATCATATAACTACACTTCTGGGTAGCTTCTCCAGCGCACTTAGGAATAGTTCCCTCCAGCCAAGTCCAGGTTCATGAGCATATTTCTGAGCTTGACAGCAAATTTCCGCAGGGCTTCTGAATCACGGTCTGCGATTCTGGGATGGTTCAGGATTGCCTTCTCCTGTAGTGCCAGGTGGTGGTTTTCTCCCCCATACCATTGGTCAAGTTCTGCCCAAGAAGCAGCGTATGCGCCTGGTCCAACAAACATCTGGGCCACAATGTCCTCAGCCGAGCTTCCTTGGAGCGCCTCCTTTAGCCTAGCCAGCTTATAATCGTCGGATACGTAGCGATCCTCATCCACCAGCCGCTTGAATGATTGACTTCACCGCACAAACTGTTGCGCGTTTCCGCTAAACTTGGGCAGCTCCAGCGGCTTCAAGTTGTGTAAAGCACTGACCCCTTGCGGGCTTTGCATACTGCCACTACCACTGCCACTGCCACTGCCACTGCCACTGCCACTGCCACTGCCACTGCCACTGCCACTGCCACTGCCACTGCCACTGCCACTGCCACTGCCACTGCCACTGCCACTGCCACTGCCACTGCCACTGCCACTGCCACTGCCACTGCCACTGCCACTGCCACTGCCACTGCCACTGCCACTGCCACTGCCACTGCCACTGCCACTGCCACTGCCACTGCCACTGCCACTGCCACTGCCACTGCCACTGCCACTGCCACTGCCACTGCCACTGCCACTGCCACTGCCACTGCCACTGCCACTGCCACTGCCACTGCCACTGCCACTGCCACTGCCACTGCCACTGCCACTGCCACTGCCACTGCCACTGCCACTGCCACTGCCACTGCCACTGCCACTGCCACTGCCACTGCCACTGCCACTGCCACTGCCACTGCCACTGCCACTGCCACTGCCACTGCCACTGCCACTGCCACTGCCACTGCCACTGCCACTGCCACTGCCACTGCCACTGCCACTGCCACTGCCACTGCCACTGCCACTGCCACTGCCACTGCCACTGCCACTGCCACTGCCACTGCCCATGCCACTGCCACTGCCACTGCCACTGCCACTGCCACTGCCACTGCCACTGCCACTGCCACTGCCACTGCCACTGCCACTGCCACTGCCACTGCCACTGCCACTGCCACTGCCACTGCCACTGCCACTGCCACTGCCACTACCACTACCACTGCCACTACCACTACCACTACCACTACCACTACCACTAAGACTACCACTACCACTACCACTACCACTACCACTACCACTACCACTACCACTACCACTACCACTACCACTACCACTACCACTACCACTACCACTACCACTACCACTTCCACTACCACTACCACTACCACTACCACTACCACTACCACTACCACTGCCTCTGCCGCTGCCGCTGCCGCTGCCGCCGCCGCCGCCGCCGCCGCCGCCGCCGCCGCCGCCGCCGCCGCCGCCGCCGCCGCCGCCGCCGCCGCCGCCGCCGCCGCCGCCGCCGCCGCCGCCGCCGCCGCCGCCGCCGCCGCCGCCGCCGCCGCCGCCGCCGCCGCCGCCGCCGCCGCCGCCGCCGCCGCCGCCGCCGCCGCCGCCGCCGCCGCCGACACCACCACCACCACCACTACTACTACTACTACTACTACTATCGACAGTTGCCAAGAAATGGCCACGCACACACACACACACACACACACATACACACACACACACACACACACACACACACATTAACTACAACACACAGCAACTTGTGATACGGGGGGAGTGCCGGCCAGCGGAGTGAGAGGCTACAGAAAGACACTGCCGGAGAAGAATGTTGGCGGAGCCAAGTATCTACGAGAGAAGATTCAGGGTCGGCCGTGTAGACACTGCCGAAGCAAAATGTTGGCGGAGCCAAGTATCTACAAGTGTCTGAATCCGAGGGACGGCGACCGAGGGCCCTGAGTAGCCGGAAATGAGCGTGGCCAACACCCTGTTTATTCACTTTATCAAAGCAAATTAGTGATGAGAAATGGGAGGTGGGAGGGTGAAACACTTCGAGCAAGCAAGAATGATCGTCGCACAGAACGGATCGAAATATCTAGCAGAGTAAACTCTAGCAAGACATGCAATGATGCATGCCACCCACGTTGAGCGCTACAAGCAAACGTCATAATAGCGCCGCCACACGCTTTCCACATCAGAGGCGAACGACACGCATCAACACGTTCAAGGTCAGGTAGAGAGATGCATTCAATATCATGCACAGTGCCAAGCCGCACATAGACTATAGCCAGCAGCAAATCATGAGCATGCAGTACCAGCACTATTAAACCCAGCAGCATAGATTGAGCGGTAGCACAAAGCTGCGTGCACCCATTAATCTGCATTATCACCGTAATGCTACTTCAAGACACACACACACACACACACACATCATCATCATCATCATCATCATCATCATCATCATCATCATGATCAGATCTAATGAAAAAGTTCATAAGTTTTGGTTGATAAAGTTGACATGTACATGCACATTGTACATCAGTCCAAACACTGATAATTTACAATCTCTTTTCATCTTACGAACTTAGAACCTCTCTTTTCATCTTGTTTTTATTTTTCTAAACACCAACCGGCACTTTTACCCATTCTACTTCCCCATAGCTAGATCTAGCTTTGCTTCACATTTCTGTTTCTTTTTGCTGGTGCGTGCTTGTGGCATTGAAGCCGAGACCTTTGGTCGGTGGAGCCCCTGGTACCTCACCACCACTGCTGCCCAGTGCAGCCCCTGCTCAGTAGCTGTTTGTTTTTGTCCACATAATTATTTATTTTACGAGTTGGGTTTGTGAATAATAGCAAAAAAATAAAAAAACACACACACACTCACGCACGTGCGTACACAGGTAACTTAGTTCCAGGGTGGGACACTAACAACTTGTACAAGTGCCGATAGTCTAACACCGGACGCACAGGCGTAGACGTCATGTGCGGCTGACTCACAGCAATCAACGACAAGACACAGACTGGGCGACCATGGGTGTCAGCGGCGTGCTTCACCAGCCAGCCTCGCTCAATCCACTCCTCCACAGCAGAGAAGAACTGTGTCTCCTCTTCTGCCGTAATCTTCTTCCGCGGGTACTCGCTGATACCCGGACCATCACAGCCATTTGGTTCTTCACCAGACTTCTATAACCATTTAACCTCCCAAAGCTTCTCCGCCGACATCCAATGCATCTTGCCGTCGTCAACCTTCAGGATGACATCGTTGTCGTCGCTCTCTACTTGGACATGATGAGACAGCTTTGAAGGCGGGCGCGTCGGAGCTGCAGGCATTGGTGAGTCATCGGCGACTGGCTGGAGAACTTCGTTGTTAGCACTAGGGGCCATACCGTCGGTCAGCTGATCCTCATACACTAGCAATCGTGTAGACTGTTCAGGAGGCGCCACAGCTGCTGATGTGAATTGCACTGGCGGGCTACTATCTGCATGGGCTGGACCGGGCGAATTACGACACGCACAAGCTGATCATTAGCATACTCTACAGACAGGCGCCCACACAAAGTCACCAGGTCAATGCCAATCAGTACGCCGGCGGCCACTACATACAGATCAGGCACAACGACAGCATTCAAGACCACTTCATGTATACTCACTGGTTTGTCATGCCTCCAAAATGTGAGGGTCACTGTACCACACGTCTGCATGGTGTTGCCATCCAGCGCTACAATACTGTCACTATTCGTCAGTGGCGTCACATCGAGACCAAGGCAATGCAGCAGGGCTTCTGTTACTAACGTCCGGGTGGAGCCAGTGTCTATCACTGCTGCAGCCCGCTCACTGTCACTCGCGTTAGGACCAGCACATTCAACAAACACACGAGGTAGCTTCGGGCACGATGATGATGCAGATGCCAGAAGGCACACGCCCTTGGAGTAGACTGAGGCCCCATCAACTTAGCAGCTACCATGTGTATCCAGCCACTTTTGTCTCAGCACGCAGTCCTTCTTGACATGCCCTTTCTTGTC